TCCTTTGCCTGCTCCTACGCAGGGCACCTTCCCTGTGAGGGCTGTCTGCAGTCTGGGCCTTCTCACCTGCTGCTGAGATCGTTTCTCAGGGATGCAAGGCCTGTGCTAGTGGAGATCGCATTGGGGCAGGATTTGAGCTGGAGAGTTGCAAATTATCGTTGCATTCATCCCTGCCAATGGGCCTAGAGCCTAATGCCAGCTTTTCAGCTTTTTCCAGCTGTGTAACTGCTCCCAGTCAAGCCTGGGCAGAGACCAGTGCTGGAGGATGCTCTGCTTGTGTTCCGATTCCTCGTTAGGGTTCTTCACTCTCCGTTGAAGGGACCCTCTATGTTCCTATCGCTCAACTTTTCCATCCATGTTGTAGAAAGGTTTCCCTTAAGGGACCACCTTCAGCTCCCTGAGGGAGATGTCTTTTTTTACTAATGAGTGCCCTTGGGGCTTGCCTGGAGTTTTTTGACTGTGCAGCACTACTGTCAAAACTTTGTTGTTTTTTGGGGGTTTTTTTAATTGCTTGTGCCCATCTCTAGTCATATGGATATTCTGCAGCAGCCTCTGTGAGAAATAAGGCAGTTCCTTTGCTTGCCTGATTGGTAAGACTTTTTGCTCTGTCACATTCTACTATGGTGACAGAAGGTCACTCAGTGGTGACAGTGAGATCTTTGAACACTTATTTGATCTCCATCAGAAGGACAGTTTCCTCCATTGCTTTTGGTTCCAAGTTTTCCCAATTTCAAGTCAGAGAATGCCAGCCTAATTCCAGCTTAATCTCACCTGGTTCCCCAGCGTACATCTAAGGAGACACAGCTGATACCATGAAAAGAGAGTTACCTACAGCTGCCTCATCCATGAGCCCTGAAGGGCTATCTTTGACGTGGTGCTACAAGACTTGAATTCTCTTTCCATTGGGGATGTCAGGGAAAAGCAAGAGACCAGAATCTCCTGCTGGAGATCTGCCTTCCTGAGACTTTAGCTCCATAACAGATTCACATGCAGTGAATGATTGAAGCTCCCCAAGGCAGGAGTTCAGAGATTATCTCAGAGCTTTTTTTTTCAGGATTTGGGATGTGCTGAGGTCAATCTCTCAGTCTCCAATGACAGCTACAATAGCTTCTAGCTGCCAGACCAAAGCTGGTGCTCCCATTCAGATGTGCTCTTGATCACATAGTGGAGACCCACGCTGAACACCCCTTCCGCATCCTCACTTCTCTGAAGGACAACCAGGAAAGTACAAGAACACCATAAAAGAGAAGATCTCTGTTCGCTACAGCAGAAGTCTCTGCCCTTTAAAGTATGTGCTCTTTATCTCCCTGTGTTTTCTTCAGGCTTTCCCACCCAGGCTGCTGACCCTTAAAGTAGCTATTCCTTCCCTTGGGACCTGATCTCACAGGGGGCTCTTAATCCAGTGTTGTGTCTTCTTGAGCTCAAAACTACATGGACTCTATGATGAAGACTGCCTGTTGTTGTTGTTTCCTGGTAAATGACCAGCAAGACTCATGCTAAATTCTTGTTAAAGGTCATTTATGAGTTCTGACAAATCAAGGGAGTAAACTGACTTTCTCTTTTTTTCCCCCAACGTGGTACTTCCAGAAAGGCCTGCTTACACTAGCAGGGTAAGTTCACTGGGCAGGAGTCTTGAAAAGTAATCTTAGTATTGCAAGGCATGACTTCTGAGAGGCAGAAAAATATTACAAAGCTCTAGGACGGCCAGTTTGGAACAAATAATTGCTTTCTTGGCTTACAGACAACACCGTTCCCAAGTACCCTGGGTTATAATCGCGTTTTGTCAGGTTTGTTAATCAGAAATGGAAAAATACAGCACAACTAATCTCCAGGGCTGCCGAGTAAGATGTGTACATGTGATACTGAAAGACCTGGAACTTCCCAGGAGAGGGATCATCCAGTTCAGAAAGGTGCCTGGGGATTATGGAAACCTACTGCCTTGTCAGTGAGCTGAGACTCCTCACCCTTCCTGTGTAGGCTCACCCCACAGCACTGGTGCTCGCGGGGCCGCAGATTGTTCTTTGCTCATGCTCCCTTTCAACACCTGTAATTTAAAGGCAGGTGAGCAGCTGAGTACACACTGGATACACAAAAGATAAATAACATTGGAAGCACCACCTCTGTCTAGTTTGACAGGTTCAACAATTGGGCTGTCGCTTCCCGTAGCAGGCTGTCCCAGATCAAAGAGCTTGTACTGTTCCCTGGCCGCAGGTTTTTTAGGATAGGGCTACAGCACCAAGTACACGTCCTGCTCATAACTCAACACCCAGTGATTATTTATGGACCTTCTTTTGGGGAGAGTTTGCCTGGTTCAGAGGAAATAGGCCATGATTACTAGGAGCCTGGCAGGCAGGTGTTTCCTGTGATACCTAGAAAACCCCTGAATCTGACAAATTGAACAATCACCCAAATGCAAGACTGATGCTAAATATCAGACCTTTTACATATACTCATTGTTCTCTAACCTTTTTGAACAGCCAGGGTGACTGAAGGTATCGTGATTTAAAGATATGGCTGTACAAACAGTCCACGGCTGGTTTTGAGCATGAATTGGTGTGGAGAGAATCACTGTGCTGGAAAGTAATTGAAAACCTTCCAGAAAGCAGCAGCTTTCTGTGGCTGTGAAAGCCACTCACTATTTGGATAAATTAAGCTATTAGGGTTACTGTACTTACGCCTTCCCTTATCAAAACTGCCATTGGAGGTAGCAAAGAGAAGGTAGCTGCGCCATTTTGATCTTGGGAGAGAAAACAAAGGTGCTACAAGCTGTTGCTTTTTGCCTGTTAGGTGAACGAGGCTTGAAGGTTGTTAGATGCAGATCTGTCATGACAGCGGCGGAGAACTATCTTCCTCCAGCAGCTGCCTCTGCTTAGGTATCCATCTATTTGAAAAACAAGCAACAAACATAAAAGCAATGCCTCATGCTCATCACTGGCTGTTCAATGTGTATTTTGGGGGAACAAACAATTTATTGTCTAACGACCAGAAATAGCTGGAGGGAATTCCAACTCACTTGAGAGAGTCAGGCAGCTGCCCCAACAAGCATTTTGCCAGCTATTGCTCGCTACAGCACTCAGCTGTGTGCTGCCACCCTCGCTTCTTGGGTCCTTGTTTGTAAAGCCTCCGATGATGCAACAGCTCCCATTTCCTCAAGGACAAAAACGCTGGACAGTGCAGATGAAGAGAAAATATAGCCAGTATGCACACGTCTCACTGCTGGTGTCTGCCTCGGTGCCCAGAGCAGTGTAACAAGCCCCGGCAGCTGTGGCAGGAGGACAAAGCAGCGGGCATGGTTTGGAGGCCTGCTCAGGCCTTGGGTCAGTGGTGACTTTACAAGACTAGGGCTACCTACGTGAAGGCAGCCTCCGTCTGCCTTCGCTTGTGCGCTCACTGATGCTGACCAATCTCTGGAGAAATGCAGTTATGCTCCTTTGTGTGAATCCTCCTGTAAAATAAATGCCTGTAACAGAAATATTTTGTTGGGAGTGAATAATACTGATTGGCTTTGTCTTTACCCTGAGGGGGCTGAAAGAACATTTACAGGCTGTCCTCCAAGACCCACCGACCAAAATTCAGGCTCCTTTAATTTAGCCTCTAGGGCTGTAATCTGGCCTTTGCCGTGTAAGTCACTGCGTGACATTTTGCTGATCTTCTAATCGCAAGGCCACGGTCAGTGGTAATGTCAGGCTGGAAAGGTTAAACCCCGTTTGCCTTTTTACCATTGTTCAGCTTCGAGTCATTTCCTGCTGTGGAGCTGAGGGAGGCTGGACCTTATGGGGGAGCGCTTTCGTGCCCTCAGTTTCAGCTCTCACGTCTGGTGCGCTGGGGCCTGACCTGCCCAGGCAGGGCTGCGGCCAGAGCATAAGGTTTCGTGCCAGTCTATTGTTGTCTAGTGACAATTAGGGTAGCAGGCTTGTACCGCTTTCCCAGTGTCATTAGGAGTAGCCCCTGAATTCTGTTCAGGGGATCCAAAGAACGGACATAGGCACATTGTTCACCTGAATGCCACCCATACTAAATGAAATATCTACTCCAGAAAACAAGTATTTAAAAAAATACCCACCTAAAGTCATTGAAACATAATTATTAAAACCTTTTATGTTACTCTACAGTACAATGTAAATTGTTCCTTTCAGTTAAATTTTGAAATACACTAGATTACATCATTTAAATAATCGCAAACTTTTAAGTTCACTATTAGTGGTAGCAGAGCTATATTTACATACACTTCTGAGATATTTCAGATGCAGCATTATGTTCCAGTCCCTAAGTCAGTTAAATAACAGACTTTCATTGGGGGTATACTGCTGTTCCACAGGTTCTACACATATTTGGGGTATATGCGTCAGAGAGCAAGAACTCCTTTTATTCTTGTCTGCTTTTATTTTTCCTTTGCTGTGTGCATGCAGCTGAATCTGAGCAAATTGATACCTACTTGATTTGGATTAAAGATGAAAGACCTTTCTTTTTAAACAAGTATTTTGACTGAATATACAGAGGTGAATAATGAAATATAGTCCTTAGGAGTAGCAGTGGAAAACATCGTTTTCTCCAACTTTCCTCCCCTGTTGCATAATACTGCACCTAATTTTGACCCTGACTTTACCTAATGCTGATGAAATACAGTCAACGGTGGAAACCTCTCTCATGTTGTCAAGACTGGCTTTCAACACAACCCATGCAATGGCAAGCATCATACATCATTCTCCTGCAGTGCAATATTAACAAGTTAAACTCAGTATTTTCCTTCAGAGATCTGCTCCTCGAGGGAAGCCCATCTCTGTATGTACATCAGCCACAAACAGGTTGTGAGTCCTGAGGCTGGAGACCAGAATTAGGCTGCAATGCTTGCTTCCAGTGCTGCTAACAGTGTTCGTGGGCCAGGCTCCTCCCTGTGTTGTCCACGGAGCAGAGCAAGTTCAAGCCACTGAGGCTGTTGATGGTCCTTTGCACGTGGCACTGGTCAAGCCAAGTCTCCCTGCATGCTGCCCGTGCAGGACTCAGGGCCTGGTGTGCGGGGTGCTGATCATGATGTTGGGCAGCGCGTTCCGCCGCTTCTTCCAGGAGCCCAGCTCCCTCGAGTACCGCCTGATCTGCCTGAACCAGTGGTGAGTCCGTGCCCGGTCACTGTCCCGGAACACAAACGCCTCCCGCCTGATCTCAATGAGTTCAAAAGTGTCATCGCAGTCAGGATCAGTGGAGACAATGCAATTACTCAGCCTCAAGGGCTCCCTGAGCAAATGGAACTTCCCATTATTTTTGTCCCTGATGAGTACCAGCACAGCGTCCTTCACAGGCCCTGGCTCGGCTGACTCCAGGCTGGACTCGGACACACGCTTCATGTTCACCAGGAGGAGGACCTGCATGTTCTGGAACTTCAGGGTCTTGCTGCCTTTCTTCACCCACTGGCCGTCGGGGGGCTGGGCCAGCTGCAGAGACCCCTCCATCACAAATCGCGTTTCCTCCCGCAGCCAACCTACAGTTTTGAGGGCGGTTTCTCTCATCTCGATGTTGATGACTTCCCTCTTCTTCTTGCTGTCCTGGCGAAAGGAGCGGAGGGTCCAGGTATTCCCCTCCTGCTTGGTTTTCATGTTGATGTGCTCCAGGTGGGACTCGATGCGGCTCTTGGCCTCCCGCAGGCTGCCATGATCTGGGTGGTACTCGGTGGTGGCCTTGATGATTCTGCTGAGCAGCAGTGGGTACTTGGTGACTCTTTGCAAAGGGGCCATCAGGAAGGACCTCAAGTTCATCCGCCGCAGTGCTGTGTTGTCATTCTGGGAGACATTGAGGAATATTCTGCAGGAATTTAAGAAGAGGGAATGAAATGGTGGCTGTTCTGCCAGAAGATGCTGCAATCCTAAATGCAAATGAACAGTGTGGTGCTGACAGCTCCTGGGCACTGCAGCCCCCCCTCTGGTTTTAACAGCCTTGTGAATTCTGTCTTCTCAAAAACTAACAACAATTTCTGCAGCTGTGCTCAACTGCAGAACAGCGATGAGGTGCCTAGGACACTAGCACGTAACATCCTGGCAGTCTTTTATTAAATCGTTGTAAAACAACAAGGGTGTGATCTTTCTCTGGGACACACTGACGTAGGCCTGAGGCAGATACATCAGCTTATATCAGATTACATGAATTTGTAGCTCCTTTCATCATTAGATTACAGAGTACTCTAAACAAGAATTTGGTACTGTCATCATTTTAAGCTGTTGCAGTGGAAAGAGAGAAGTGACTCGCCTGACATTGCCCAATCGGCCAGGACCAGGAATGGGAAACGAATTCAAGTCAAGCATGCTTCACACAGTGGCTTTCCCCAGTGGAAATCCAAACCGTGCTCTGGCGCAAGGACGGAGAGCTGTTCTCAGCTGGGTGTTACTTGGTGAGAGTTCAGCCCAGTGGTCAGGGGGCAAACACTGGTACCACAAAATACAGTATACAGCTGAGGACCAATTGCCTGCCTCAGTGGAGGTATCAAGGGTTTAATATATTTTGGAGAGTAAATTACTCTGCTCACCCCAAGAGAGAGCAGTTCATCACTGAAGAATATTAGCATCAAAACTTTGACCTAGTTGAGCTGACAAAGGCTTTGCCCTCAGCCTGGTGTCCTGCTGTCCCCAAAGCCTGGAAGAATACACTCAGCCCTCTTCTCACCTGAGCAACTCCTTCTCTTTCTCCAGTGCGTTGAGCATATTCACGGAGGAGGACTGCTGAAGACAGTAGGTCTGAAAGGCTGGCAGCATGTTGACGAACTCTAGAAATATTTCGCCGATGCACACGGTCATCAGGTCATCATCACCCTGCAAGCATGCAATACAGCCCCTGCTGGGTTAGCTTGGGAGAGGCACAAGCACAGAGCCTGTGTTCAGTCCTATCAGCATGAACCTACTGCAGGATCTGGTGAACACCAGATGGAAGGTGGAGCTGGGCTCACCCTTCCTGGTGGAAAGGCAGTCCCTGCAGGTCCAGGGGGAAGCAGTGTGTGGGGAGGGGAAGGAAAGCTGGTCTAACTGCTTGCTGTTCTACATATAAAGAGACGTCTTCTCTGCTTCTGTGGGCTTGGCCAGCTCACCAGAGCAGGGACTCAAAGACCAGAGGCCAGAGTGAGCCTGCTAGTCAGGAGGGTGTACTGGGGCCCTTCTTGCCGGCAGGTCTGCCATAAGGCTAATGCAGCATGCATAAATTAACAAAGAGCATTTAGGAGCAGATGGGCAGAGGAGACCTGTAACTCAGGTAACAGACATGGCACTTAACAATTTCTGCAGTCGTTCTCAGCAACTGGTCTGGCTGGGAAGCAGTCTCCTTCAGTTGTGCTCTTACTAGCTACTTTGATGCCTAAGTGAAAAATAAATTTCATGGTAAATTGTTCTCTGATTTCTGTCTGTGTAATAAAACAAGGAATAGTAAGAATCTGGTGCCATGTAATGCTCTTAGCTTTGTCTAGGTGTATGCTGACATGCTCTGCAATCACTGCTCTTCTGAGCAGCGAGAGATGGAGCAGCTCTCTGGCTGCTGGTGGCTTTTTGGTGCAGTAGTGAGCTCTGACTGCAAAGGGCAACATGGAGGAGGAGACAGGGAAACCCACGGCTGTTTGTAGAAGCCATTGTCTTGATAAATTATTCACACAGGACATCACACCCGCAGTGCACATCTGTCTTCACTGTGCCAGGTGCATGAGAGTGGTTGTCAAAGTTGCCAGGTTTTGAGACATGTGTCGCTCAGTCTGACATGCAGGGTTTTGGAGAGGGAAAGGAGGGATGCGTTTCCTAGAGAACAAAACATCCTGGTGAGACTGATACAGCAACAAGTGGGGTTTGGTTTCTTGAAGGAAGGAAGGTGTGGAGCTGTTTATGTGTCCTTTGCAGTGATTGTCTGCTGCTCGAGTGTCGTATTTCTCTTGCCCTGCCCTCTGACCACTACGCTTATGGGGTAGGAAAGTCCCTTGTGCAAGGCAAGGTGCATCAGTAGAAGCAACTGGTACACAGAGCTGCAAGGGCCAACGGTCACAAGAGCAGAGAGCAGCCTGTGCTGCCTGGCCCCACAGCCAGGCTAGAGGCAAGCTGCAATAAACTGCAACCCAAGGCAAATACACCCAAGCCAGCCTGAAGCAAGCCAGCTCAGGGTTGAGTAAGAGCGTGGCCTGTGAGCTTGGTCCCCTTGATCTCTCTGGTGGCCAGACCAAGCTGAGCTCTGTGCCCCCACCGTCACACGCTTATCAGTGTCCAAGCTAACTGGCTTAAAGCTAACGTTGGTAATGGGACGGTTAGATCCTGTTAATGGGATAAACAAGCAAGACTGCTGATGGCCTGCTAATGTCAGTGGCGTTACCACAGCAGAGTGAGGCCAGCAGCTGTGACCTGGCACAGGCCTATGGAAATCACTGGTTTATAATAGCTGAGGGAGGAAGGGACTGGGCAGATGACCAGAACCCAGGAGTCCTACCTCCTGATCCCCTGCTCCATCTATGCTGCCTCACTAATGCAAAACCTATTCCTGTCTGCCTGGTCCGGCCCCTGTAGAGCACGCAGCATCATACCTGGTCAAAGGCCTGATCGATCTCTTCCTGGAGTACCTCCAGGAAGTTCTCGTTGAGGTCGATGAGCTCCTGGATGTTGCTGAAGATACCCAGGAGCTGCTCCTGGCTCAGCAGCCCAGCTGCCTGCATGGGGAGGTAGAACTCCTCTTTGATGATGCGCAGGTCCTCTCCATAGCTGGCCTCCGTGTTGACGAACTCCAGCACGGACTCCTTGCGCTCTGTCCTGCGCTTGCGGCACTTCTCGCAGAGGTCCGCCCGCCTCTGATTGCAGTTCTGCACATCTGTCTCCACTGGGAGGTCCCTTTCTCCGCAGTCAGTACAGGGACGGTGGGCTTCCCAGGCCTGCAGGGAGCTCAGCGTTTCAGATGCCCTGTTCCTCCACTTTCTGGCTGGCATCTGGCCAATGCCACTGTCTGCCCTCTCCACATCCACTGACTTGGTCCGGGTGGCCTTGCTGGGATCCAGGTCGTCCCGGACATCGTTCACACCAACAATCCCGCTGTCCGTGCTCAGGCTGCTGACGTTGCTCCAATGATGTCTGGACCGGAGGGAGCCACGTGGGGCGCGGCGGGTCTCATCAAAGCTGCCACCATGGCCAAGGTTGGCTTTTGCTACCACTGGACCTGAGAACAGACACAAATCATTACAGGCACTGCCAGCTGCACAGAGCTCACCTGAGGAGCTCAAGCTGGCACAGCCATGAGTGGTAGGAACCCTGGGGGGGCAGGCTAGATCAGGTGAAAGCAGGGCTGTTAGCTGTCTCCCCTCCTGCTTTGCTGCCGAGACTGGCGAGAGAAGTAGATGGCTCCCAGGCGAAGCCCGGCGCCTGTCACCCCTGCGCTGCCCATACCTGTGAACTCATTTGGGCTCTCTCTTCCCCTGCCATCTGCCAGGCAGGGACAGAGACACAGCACAATATACCCTGATTTGTTGCACGCCTGCCTGGGTTAAACCCAGAACGCTTCCCTCCCCCGGTCATTAGGGTCACCCCCTATTTACACCAGCGTAGTGGTGGCCCATCAGCCCCCTCTGAGTGTGCAGAATGTGGGTACCGTAGTCTCGCTCCTGCCGGCGCTTCTGTGCGTGCTGCCGTGCTGCAGCTGCAATCTTCAGCTCCAGCTGCTTTCTCTTCACCGAGTCTGTTGGCATAGGGTCACTGAAGTGTGGCCGCAGCCGACAATCCCGCTGGGCCTTGGCACCATCCGTGCTCTCATGGACGATGTCGGAGCTGGATCGGCGGCAGCTGGGACTGGGGATCTGCAAGAAAGACAAGTAGGTTTGGAGCAAGGTGGTGGTCAAAGCAGCACCTGGTTGGCAGCCACTGGACTTCAGTTGCCAAAGGAGAGAAAAGGAAACTCATCAGCAGTGGGATTGTAAATGCAGCTTTACTGCATGATCATTAGGAAATCTGTCCCCCCAGGTCCCTCTGTCTTGCTTAGTCCCAACAGCAAGGACCCCTCTCCCTTTGCTGTTGTATAGCTCTGAGTGCAGTGGCTCCATGGTGGCTGGATCACAGCTGTCAAAAAACCATGAAGAAGTTAACAGCACAGCCCTGGCTAAGGGCCTAAAGGGGGGGCTGAACCTCTCCTCCAGGGATCTGAGCTAGCTTGCCTCTGTTCTGTGAACATTTCAGCGCTGCAGGGTCAGGAAGTCCAGCCTCTGTGCCTTACCTACATTAGCGGTTTGACCAAGTGGGGACTAGGAGGGAGTCTGTCTGATCTCCCAGGCAGTCCAGCAATGAGGGGCTGGTGGCACACTGAAAGCAACGAAGGGGTTATTGCTGAAATCCCTGCAAGGGATGCCGTGGCAGGTAGGCAGGGGCACAAAACTGACTCCTGTTTCATTAACTGTAATAGAGAAGGCACTAGAAATGCTTCTAACAGAGTTTAATCGCTCATGGGAGTTGGTGTGTTTTCAGACCCCAGGCTCCCAGCCTGCCCAGTTCCTACAGTGAACAGATCCTCTAGAGCTTCTGACAAGGAAAAAATTCCTGAACACATGCCGAAGATGAGAGGGGAATTCCTCTCCCTTACATTCCCTGCAGATGGAGTGTCGCTGGATGTCTCATTGTTTGGCTTGTCCTCCCAGGTCTCTGTTGCCATGGACATTGCTGCGGGCTGCCGGCTGTCCTCTGGAGGTGGGATATCAGCTTCCCTCAGATCACACTGTCCCTTGGAGGGGGATTTGGCAGCAGTCTCAGCATTGCAGCTGCAGGGAAAGAAGCAGACTCTGATGAACATCATGTATGCAGTTCACCTGCTGTTCCTGACACAGATGAGACTGAGCAGCAAGCCCAGGTTCGAACAACCAGCCGCAACAGTTCAGGGAAAGTGCAGGCAGGAATCAAGATGGGTTGGCATGGATGGCTGTGTGTGTGTTTCAGGGGCTCTAAACACAGGTCAATTATAGCCATGCAAATCGGGTAATTGCACTCATGCCAGCATCAGCCTGGGATATCAAGTCTCGGGTGTTCACAGGGTATTTTTGTGCCCATAAAACATGAGGTTCTTCTATAGGGACCAGAAAAACCTCTTTCTAAGTAGGCCATATCCATATTTGCGCTTATCTAAAGAGATGTTGTCAACACAGAAACCATACTGCTCATCTGGAAGAAAATCACCTGCTAAAAACCATAATACTTTGAAGAGATTAGAGGATTAAAGGCACTTTCCCTGTTTTTCATCTCATATGATGCCAAGCCTGCTAAAACCACTGGAAAGATTCCCTCTGCTTTCAGTGAACTCAGGATCAGGCCTTTTGGTGCACCTAAGAGTCCTGAAAAGATTGGCAGAGTCTGTTGTTCTCACTTGGCAATTCTGGGATGCTCTTATTCACGGCTGTCTGGTGCTAACAAGGGTCTGGCCTGGCTGATACAGGCAGCGTATTCCAACCCCACATTCCCCTCTCTGTAGACAACACCACCTCTCCAGACAGACACAGTCTGGTGCAAAACCACTGACTTGACAGAGTAGTTGACAGGCTGTAGTTTGTGATACTACTTGTGATACATTTTTTTTAACAGACTCTCTAAGACACCTTATTTACATGCATAATGAAGCCTGCTTGGAAGAATATTAATTTTTTTCATTTTGGGTTTACTTAATTTTTATGGGCTTGGATTCTTTTAAAAAGAAAGGTTGTCAGGACTGGATATGGATGCCTGTACATAGAGGAAGCCCATGTCTGGAACATATTTCAGGTTACGCATGTATTTTATGCTTAACAAAAGTCTCCCATGACAAAAATCTGCTGCTTCTTAAAGGCTTCACTTGTGAACTTATGCTGGTAGGTCATACTGCTAATGTGCAATTCCAACACTACAAGCAAACACATGAGACAGATGGGCATTTTCCTTACAATGAATGACAGTTGGCTCCAATAACAAACCCTCAGCCAACACTGAAATCACTGAAGAGGGAACAAATCTCCCAGAACACAAACTGGCTCTGTTGTCAGGCCAGAAAAGTTGCTTTGCAACTTTCCAGCTGATGCTTTTTCATCTTCCTCCATTTATGCTTCCAGGTCCCAGCTGACACTACCAGAGGATTTACCAACTCAAAAAGTTTAGCCGCAGCTGCGCAGCAACAGCACAGTGCTAACAGCAGGTTGCTGGCTTTTACTTTTTGCTCTGCTAACTCCCTGCCATGTGGATTTGGAAGCATCACTTCACCCCTCCAGGCCTCTTCTCCCCAGCCTGTAGAAAGGGGATGCCAACATCAGTGCTGTCACAGAGCAGTCTGTAGTATGGACCGCATTATCCCCCTTACGGGCCTGCAGTGAGGGCAGCGCAGGCACACAGCAAGGCTGTGGTCCCACCATGGTACTGTCCTGGCCCTGTCCAGCTTAAGAGGTTCCTGTCTCCTTCCTCCCTCCTGTCCCCAGCCACATTTGGGGTACCACTCCTTCAGCCAGTCCAGTGTAACTGTCTGTGTGGCCATGATCTAAAATCAGTCTTGAAAGGATCTGGGTTTAAAAAAATATCCTCCCTCAAGTATTCCCAGCCAGATCATTTCATCTATGTTTCATTGAGTTGGGTGAAGTATGAACAGTTCAGCTGGGCACACCTGTGGGAGGGAACGCAGAGGTTAAGGAGCAAGGAAGCTCTTCAAGAGGATCTGCCACTGCCGGAAAACCACCATTTCCAAAAGCTGCTCCTGCTCCAACAGCTTCTGGTTAAAACATGCAGAAAGAAGCGATCATGCTGAGGCACAGAAGGCAACGGGATGTGTCCAAGGTCAGTAGCAGAACTCAGAACGGGAATATTATCTTCTCTTGATCACACCACCTCCCACCATACAGACCATACTCTCAGAGAGAAGCTGAGCTTTCATTTGTCATTTCTATAGTCTTTCAAGATCATCCACTTAAACATGGAAAGTACTCCAGAGTATTACTGCTCCTCTAAGTGAAGCTGACAGCAGCTCTCTGCTGATAAGGTCTGTGGACCAGATGCCATTGCTTATTGTGGCTTCCATAACCCAATAGAGATATTTTTAAAACACCTCCAGACGTGACCTGCAGTGGGAATAAGAGCTAATACTACCCAGAGAGCTGAACTAAGGAAGTGTGACTGGAGACTAAGAAATTCAACCCATCCCATGGCTGGTCAGCTACAGGTAAGAAAGGTAATGACGCAGAGCCCACATTGTGTGAAAGGAGATTTCTTCATCCCTGGTTTGACGGCTCTACTTCTAGTTGTGATTAGATCCCTCCTGCATGAGGTACTGGCCATGCCGTATGGGCGTTAAGTGCTGCTCCACAGAGCAGTTGCTCTGCATGCGCCACCAGTGTGATCAGAGGGATGTAGGCAAAACAGGGAGGGTACAAGCAGTTTTGTAGAACCAAAACTTAGGGCTGCTCGTTCAACCTTTGCCCCTGGCTTAGGAGGAAGAGGGGACATTGCCAAGAAAAAGGGATATTGCCCCCTCCTCCAGTCCCCTCCCCCTGGCAGAGATCTGGGCTGCCGACAGGTCTACACCAATGCCTACTCAAGCAGTCCCCTCTGCTCTCATGCAGAGCTGCAGAAGAGGGGACTCTGGCATGTTTCCTTCTGTGGGATCAAATCACTGGGATAGGAGTTTTCTGCCTGGGGTTGGTGACAGTTTTCCCTGTTCTCTCCAAGACAGATGATGCGCTTGGGCCAGCACAAGGAGGACAGGTTCTTTCTGAACGTCCTTTTAAACCTCTGGGCCATCATCTCTGAATCTCATGGAAGCAGAGGCACTGGGTGTGTGGTGTACAACTGGAAACGCACCTGCTTTCCTTCACAGTCTTTATGGGATTCTCCATGATTGTGTCATTGTCCAGGCCAGCAGTTCTCAGCCCTTTCCACATGTTCCTGACTCTTTCTGACTAATGGAAACATTTTCTGTCTGCTCCTTCCCTGCTGACTCCTGCCTTCCAGACTTGGGAGTTCTCTTCTGTGGGAAGCTGTTATTGTACCCACCACCCCAGTGTCATCCCAAATAGACACCATCACTCTTTGCAGGAAGCCTTCTTTCTTAGTCTTGTCCTTTGCTTCCTTGTGCAGGTTTTTGTTGTCTCCTTGTACCCCCATTTCATAGACAGAAACCCCAGGTCGTTACATGTCCTTATCCTGAACAATTCACTGCTTAAGTTCAGAAAGTAGACTATATATTGAAATGCATACAGGATTTCCACCTAGATCTCAACACCCCTTCCCTGCCAGGACTGCAACTGAAGTTAAAGGTATCCACTGACCTATGAGGGGGATAAAGCCGCCATGATTATGAAGCTGAAAAATCAAATCTTCACTGATGAAATATTAAGCCATGTGAATGACTCTTAAGTAATTAACTATAAATTACTAGGGAGGCAATTAACTTACCAGACAAAACTGCTTTGTAAAACTGTTAACACTTACACAGAAACACTAGAAAGAGAAGACAATTTCAGCTATCTTATTGTGTGATGCTCCATCACAACATCTCTATCAAAGGCTTGTTGAGCTCAGTATCTGTGGAAATGGGACCACATCCCCAGCTTTCAGCTCATTTCATTTGAGACAGAAAAAATGTGGTCTGGATGTCAGTGACCGTAATTTAGGACCCAAAATATCCAGAAAAAAAGTCTCCCACCTCTGCACTGACAATCAGCTTGAGTTATAAATGAATATTCAGGCACTTTACAGTCTTGGATGAAAATGATGGAAAATTGAGAAATTTCCAAATAAAGGAAACTGCATTTTCCCACTAACCAGTACTTTGGCACTGCCTTCTGCACAAAGCACTTCCTCCTGCTATCCTGAAGAAACGACAACCTTTACCATTAATTGTTATTACTATTGAAAATAATAGGTGGGTCCTTCACATGAAACAACCTTTCTAATACTGGAACCACTGTCATTCTCATTTTTAGATCAATTACCATTTTGGTGTTAATAAAATAACCTCATATATTTTAACAAATCCAACGAGGGAGACTGACACATTCAGAGGAACAAAAACCACTGTGGATATTAAAAGCACAGAAACCACACTGCCCTGGGCAGGAAGTGTTTGGAGGCTGGGAGAGTAGTAGGAAGAAAGATCATATGCACTACCCAGTTCCTGTATACTTTGCTATGCATGCACCTCCAGCTGCAGATACTAGTCAAACCTTTGATCTGCCCAAAACCAGCTGTTCTTATGCTCTTACTCACAGCTTGTGCCATTCTGTGTATTTCATTTCATATCAATGATAAAAATAGCCTACTCAGTGAAAATGGTTGCACACCATAACTTTCTCATCTGTTTCTTCACTGGGTTTTCATACTCTAGAAAAAAAGCACACAGCTGAAGGAAGCATTTAGGGCTCTGACACCACCTACTGCCCTTTGGATTATAAAGTTGCAGAAGTATTTCTGCTTGTCACTCTGGTTCTGTCTACATGGGGAGCTTCAGGTCCACAGAAGTTCTTTTGGACGACTCTCGTTCCTGTGCAGAAGTCACCATCATCTCCTCTAAAACCTGAGTCCAGGCTCAGAGCTCTAGCATTCCAGAAATACCAAGTCAGTGTACAAGGTTGATGCCCTGGCATTTCACACACTGCATCTGTGGATGTCAGAAGCGGCCAGGAACCGAGTCAAACATAATTATTGGCGAAGCAGTCCTGAACACCAAGTGTATGGAAACAAATCACTCCGCCAGCACTTACTCCTCCTTTTCCCAGGAGCCTTATCTAGTGGTAAGACAGTGATAACTGCCCCAAATTCCTAGCTTCCAGAACTTTGCTGATTGCTGTTGGGCCACCGGCTTGCGTAGAAAGAGATCCCCATTTCTCTGTCAGGAGGGAGGTAACAGGACTGCAGTGTCCAAAACCAGGATAGAGAAAGCAGTCCTTGTGAACATCTTACCCAGAGGAGGGGAAAACTCTGGTTGGAGAAGAGGGAGGAAGGCTTTACGCAAGTATCTTCTGTCACTGCTTACGCTGTCTGAGTTGGCAGAAGGACAGTATTTGCAAGTACTTTCACTTGCTGCCTGTGCTGGTCTCCAGAGGGTGGTTAAAGGCTCGTAGCAGCCATCTTGCTCTCACTTGTTTGCCAGTTCACTACATACGGGCAGCAAGTGAAAGCACTTGTTGCTGCATGTCACAATACCTAAATTCATATCCTGCAATGGTGGGACAGACTCTACATCTTTTTTCAAAGGAATCATATTAGGACTTTGTAACCCTCTGCTGTCCTCTACTTTTAACAGATGTTAAAAAAAAAAAAAAAGACCTTTCAGCAATTTCTTACAGAAATAAAATGGGTGGGAAATTGGGTGTCAGGACTACTAATGACTGCTGTCTGGACAGGATTAAGGTGTACAAAAAGGCAAAGTCTAGATGAAAATGCTTTTTGATGTTTAATCCCACAAAAAGATGAAGTTTAAGATCAACAGCTTAAAGACATGTCTATGCCATGTGGCTATCAGAGACCCTAAGATGAAAGGCTCTGCCAACAGCGTATTGATGCTACGGGAGTTAAATGTACATATCAGGAGAGAGACCAGATTGTTAACAAGGGAACTGCTTTCAGGTGACCCCACAGAGCATGTTACCTTTTCTTAATAAGTTCCAGGGCTGAACCTATGAATTCATCCTTCATTTTTTGTAGTTTAGCTCCATAGCTGGATAAGTCTGTGGCTTCTAACAGCAGCGATGAACAGCAAGAGGACTGGGCTTCAGAAGCCAGCGACTGCCCTGCAAGGTGGAGGACATCATTTAACTGTCTTGTCTCTCCTTTCTGCTGCTCATCACTGAAGATCCCCTGCCCAGCTCTGTGTATTGCTACTGCCTGCAAAGGTGATCGTGGAATAGGGCTAGAGCAAATGGGGACCGGGGATCTATCCGGGCTGGAGATCTGGAAGGTTCTGTCCTTCACCTCAGGGCTGCTCATTCTGAAACCATCCGATGTCGCTGGATATTGGGAAAAGCCAGCAGAGGTGTGGTTTTCATGGAACACATCGTCGTCATCCTCCGCTGTGACAGCAGCTTCATTCACAGCTTTGGTCCCCAGAGCTTCTGGACAGACATTCTTACTGTTCTCCTCCAGGGTCTGGTTTGCAGGCAAACCCTTATTCAAGCACTCTGTTGGCCCACTGCTGCTGGCAGATGAATTTGCCTCCTTACTTCTCATTTGCTTGAATTCCTCAAAGGTGGGTATGTAGAGCCTCCCTTTGCAGCGGCCCTTCTTGCTCTGTCCCAGTGTGGCTTTGACATCTGTTTCCCCACTATATTGTTCCATGGTTTCTGCTGTTCTGGATTTGGCCATCTCATGACTTTCCCCGGCACGCTGAAGGGGCAGATTGGGGGAGCTATTCTGCCTTCGGAGCTGAAGTCTCCTCTGAGCCTCCTGCTTGATGTCTTCTGGACTGATGATCCTGTGCGCAAAACACAGTCTCTGTCTCCCCGTGAGGCTGTGCCTGAGAGCAGTGTGTTCCACCAAAACTGTGCAGCAGCTGACAGCACAACCGTTCTTGTACTGCCGGCACATCTGGCATTCAAAAAACTCCCGGGCCATCAGGTCAGGCAGGGCTGCCTGTGGACGCACTGGCTTGCAGGGCTCTGCCACTTTACTGCTGTGCAGCCTCAGCTTCTCCTTCAGCTCTTTTTTGGCATCCCCATGTAGGGCTCTTTCCTCTGCAGAAGGGAAAAGCCACTGAGGCACTTTGGCAAAGGGAGGGAGGAGCACATTCTGTGCTGATCGAGATGTCTGTTTAGCATGGAGGGAAAGGTTTCTCAGAGAGTCCGGTGTGCTCTGTACTGGGGCCACATCCACACAGCCTTCTGTCCACTGACTGGTGCCTCTGTAGCGAAAGATGATCTCATTATCCAGGCTCCGGCAGTGAGAATAAAGCCCAGAGTCAGCAACTGTTGCCCAGTGAAGGTTCTCCACGCTCCGATACATCCGGTTTTCCACAGGACTGGCCAAAGGTGCCTTGCCTGTGTGGCAGGAGTCTAGAGTGTGGAAGTCCCCAGAAAAAATATGAGTGTCTAGGTTCTTTAGTGGATGCATGCTGCTAACCGAAAAATCCTTTAAGCCATGTTGTGCACAGAGCTGATTATTTTGGCAGCTCAAGATCACCCGGCAGTGTTCCTGTCTCTCATCAACATTGATGTATGTCATAGCAAATGCACATGGAGGCTCTAAGACAGTGGCGTCTAGGGGGAGAGGAGGGAGCTGGGGTGTCGCTTAGATGCCAGTCAATGTCCACAGACCACAGACAGCAAAGTGTGCTGCTGGGTACTCACATAAGAGAGCTCTCACATGGGTTGAGTTGCCATGCGTAGAAGACCTGTGAATGGAAGGAAAGATGAGTTACTGAAGCAGCCTGGTGACGACTCGCAGGATGCAACAGCACGTGTACTTCCAGGGAACACAGAAGCCAAACACCAACAGCTTGGGTAGAAACAGAGCAGCATAACTAGGAGATGAGCTGCGGGGCTTGGGGCAGGGAATCTTGGCTCTAGCCAAGCCAACAGTGGCCTTACACTTCCCATTGGAATTTGGAGAAGTTTACCCTACCTACCCTCAGCAATCTCTCACAATAACACTGCTCAACTCTAGTGATGAATGTTCAAAAGTACTTGCTGCAGGCTCAGCTTACTCACACAGCAGCACTAAGGAGACGGGAGGTTTACAAGAGATAGCGAGGTTCTTTCCCTCAAATGGGGTGCCAACAAGAGTGCGTGGCTTAAGGAGGAGGCTGGGGGTGGGAAAGGATGACATGACAGTGTGGTCTCCTGGAAGGCTCAGGTAGCAAGGAGGAAGAAGGCGGCTGACTGGTGGTGGTTTTGTTTCTGAGAGCCACACTGCAGCCCCTTAATGCTCTGATTTACCTTTCACAGGGAAGATGCATATGGTTTAGTGACTGGTAGCCAAGCATTTCCAAGGCCTTTCCAGTGCAGAGACAAAGGTACCTCACAGACTTTCACAAATGCACCCTCCTGACCCCTTAGCAACAGGCTCAAATGATCACCCCCCATGACAGCTCAGCGGAGGCCCAGAAAGAGAAGGTGTGGTTTCCATGGCTGTTCCTATGATCTGTGATCAGCTTGTAATGCCCAGGAAACCTAAGTGACTAAACCACATGTTCAGAGCAATGTGGAGAATTAAATTCCAAAACGTCAGTTTGGGCCAGCAGGATGTAGGTCTAAGTCATCCTTGGAAGTGGAAAGTGCCTCCTTTTCATTGAATGGAAAGACTACAAATTTCTCTTAAGGATTTAAGCCTCATGGACTTGCCAGCAGTCACACAAGACACCACTGTCTGCTAGAGCCCTGTCCACTCCCTCCCTTGGCAACCAGAGGCAAAAGGAACAAGTGAGTGCCATACGTAAAGGAGAACAAGACTGGGCAGGGGATATGGGGTTAGCCTGAGATTCGCACGGGCAACATAGAGCTGGGATGGTGGGGCATCAGTCTCTAACAGCCAGGCAAGAACTAACCAGGTTGACTACCCAGGAAGAGGTCTTGGCAAAGCAAGACAGGACCATGTAAGTTACAGCCCAGACTGCTCTGTAGTGCAGCTGGGTTCTCTGCACACTGCCAACCATTCAGACAGCACAGCCACCTTGACCAGGAGGGGAACGAAGAGGCTTGTTACTCCCTGAAGGCTAAGACACCTCAGGCATCTAACTGTGTGAGGCACCAACAGACATCTTCCATGTGAGGAGAAGTCTGAGGCTGTGTACTGCCTGGAAGCCAATCTTGGTAACTTGCCGGTAGCTTGATTCACCCCTTCTTAGAGTGGTTCAAATTAACATATTTTCCCTGCATTAATGAAATTATCTCTAATCTAATCCCAGAGAGGGAAGGCAGAGCTGCTCCTGTGGATCACCGCTGAATGGAGAACATTATTTCAGTCTGTCATAATTGCTAAAAATAAAAATTAAAACTAGCTTTCAAGGTGTGGCTGTTCCCCAAGATGTCATAGGCACTTCTCACCCAGTCTTCTCATGGTGGGGCTGGAGTTCCCCCTTCTTCACGGCTCTGGAGGAGCCCACAGGTGACAGCAGAGAAACGTGAGGATCAGGACTTTCTGTGATCATAGGTTATAACATGATCTGTCAAGAAAGAGAGAATGAGATGATGTGAGAGCCAGTCACTGAGCAGAGAACAGGGCTCCTGGTAGTGCCGAAGGGCTCCTGTGAGAAAGTGCTGTTAATGAGAGATGCCATGGCCTGTCAGGTTGGTCTGCAATCTGGTCACAGCCACGGGACTAAAAGCCACCGTGTATTTTCTGCACTCTGTTTTCAGACCAAGTAGAAAGAGAACACAACCCTTGCTGTAGTGAGAGTTGAGAATAAAGCAGTCCTTGCCCAAGGCAAGGAGTTACATACAGATAAGGCCTGAAGAGAAACCAAGGCTCACATGAGGCAGGTTCCTGGGCTACACGCTCGCTTGGCAAGTGCTGCGTGTGTGCGTGTGAGAGCAAGCCAGCCAGTGAAGAAAGCGCACAGGCAAAGGGAGAAGCAGTCACAAGAAGAGCAAGGAAGCACAGGCACAGAAATGACGGGGTGGGATCTGTCTGTGGCTGTTCCCTTTATCCACAGATGGGGCAGCACTGAAAATACAACCAACTTGTGTCCTCACGGTCTCTCTTCAGGTGGAAACTTATTGCCGGGGTCCAGAGTGCTGACCCCTCTTTGGGCTGCAGGGCAGCTGCAGTGACACCAGGCGTGGGTGGCCACAGGCCCCTGCCTGCTCAGGTGCATGGCACAGACCACGCAGGGGGGTTGCGTCCCTCCGTTACATGAGGCAATGCCTCAAACCCGCCGGCAGGAGATGGTACCCCTTTGCCCTGCAGGAGAGCAGAGGCTGATTTCCCCAGCGCGTGCAGAAGGTGCCAGTGCTCGTGAGCACTGCTGGGCAGCAGGAACCTGCTGCTGCTTTGCCAGGGCAGGATTTTCCAGAAGATGTGCACGGGGCGGCAAAAATCACTTTCAGGGAAGGAGCAGCTGGGAGAAACCTCCTGCAGGCAGTGTGGGGCAGGCAGAGTGTGAGGGACAGAGAGGGGCAGCAGAGGCAGGTTTGCAGAGTGGAGGACCCAGAGAAGACAGAGCTGGCTGTGAGAGACAGCAGGAGACAGAGACTTTCCAGAGGAGGCTGTGCAGAGTTTGCTGACATGTAGGCAGGCACCAAAAATTACTGGACTAAGTGGAGGAAGAGGGGAATTTTGTTTCCAAATAATTTATTCTAATCTTTGTCACCCTTCAGAGCTGAATTTTCTTTCTCTAAACAGTGGCATTTTGCTCTAAGACACGGGAGGTCCCTTTGATACTTCCAGGAGAGCTCAGAGCAAAGGTGCACATGGATGTAGCTCACAGGTGGGTGTGCAAGGGGGTTCAGTGCCCTGGCTGTAGTGAGGGGGAGCCTCAGAAATCGGTGAGCTCTGTTTCACCTCATGCCTGCAAGGCAGCTGTGGAGATCTCATAACACCACCTTGGACAGGAGCACCTTTCTTCCCTGTTACTCCATCCTTGAAAGGATCATTTATTTCCAACTGAACTCTTCTAATCTTCCCCATTCCCCCCATCTCACTACCCTGAGGGCTGTGCACAGTATGTCAGGTAGCAAAGCTTAATGTCACTGATCACCCAGGCCAACTGCTGCCCGAGTCATGACCTGTGAAGGCGGTCCGGCTGTGCTGAGGCACAGCCTGCTTCCCGCACTGTCCAGGGATGCTTGGAGCAGGAAGAAAGCAGAGGTCTCTCTAAAACATGAGGAATTCTGACCTCGCCTGTAACCATGAAACAGTGAGCCCTTCTCCCTCCTTCCCCTGTTCTTGTGCTCCATTCCTCACAGCACACAGCAACAGCATCACAGTTTCAGCCCAGATGCCTGCGTTGGTCAGGTCAGTGACACCGCTATAGTATAAAAGTATGTGTCTACACACTCAGCTCTAAAGTAACATGACCACAAGCATCTTCTAGGCACTCTGCTGGAGGAGAGCATGAGATGGAGACAGAAAAAAAACATCTGAGGTAATATGTTTATGGTTGATACGCTCAAGATGATCTTTCAAGTACATCCTTGCAGGCTCACTGTACATACAGGATATTTAGCCGCAGTCTTACACAGTCGCCATCGAAGAAACACTGGAAACTACAGGAACATGAAAGACTTTGTCTTTCCACCACCTCAGAGCTATAACTACAGTCTATAGCTACAGCAGGTGATCCCAGGTATGGGAACTAGCAAATGCCACAGAAGTGTGAGGCAATTGAGAGAAGTAAATGCTGATTTCTCACCCGGTGACCCAACTCAGGGGCCTAACTCACCATCTCCTAAAGGTACAAAGCAGTCCTAACGCACCCTGTGTTCTCTTCCAGTTAAACCAAGCAGTGACTTGCAAGTTCTTTGTTGCTCCCTGGCATACGTGAGCACTGTGGGTTGATGCTGCACTCCTTCGTTTACCCACCTGGGTACTTCCCGGCAGCCGTGTCCACAATTCTCCAAGGCTAGGGCTTTATTCTAGTCCAGCAATCCTCCAGGCCAATGCTGAGTTATTCCAGGCCAAAGAGCAAAAAGGAGCTTAATGTTGGCTGCCACTATGGGAATGGCACATCATTGCTCTTTGATCATGCTGTCTGTGCAACATTTGCCTGTTCCCTGGCTCAGGGACTGAAAAGCTCCTGATGGTTATGAGCTTCACGCCTTAAGTGAGCATAAGACTAAAGGCATCGTGTACTCAGCTTATTTTCTACCATGTGATTCTGTTTAATCAAGTTCTCCTCCACTACTCTGATAAGTGCCTGCTTGGAGACTTGCCACTAACCTTCATTTTCCTGCAAAATCCCCCCAAAGAACCTATTTCTCAAGGATTAAAGCTTGAAGGATAAATTATTCCTTCCCATACACATAAGAACTGTTCTGCCTGGCTGACCTTCCCAGCAAAGCACCAGACAAAGTGTCAGGAGGATGAAGCAGGCAGGCACAGGATAAGCTGTTCACTGCTGGTGAAAAGCACTGTGGAGAGGACCAGTCATGTCCAAGGACTCCAGGGACATCAGG